TATATATATACACACACACACACACTACATCTACTCTCTTAAAATCACCAAGATGTATTTTGCTAAATGTAGAGAGCTGATTTTTATTGCCTAAAACCACACCATGGTGTTCTGAATTAGTCTGTGTGAGCGTCTTGCTTGTGTCACATACTGGTCATTTTTGGGAAGGCGCTTCATCATTTCTCCCATGTTGCATTGGGATTCCAGTCATAAAGTTGGCAGTGTTTTAGGTGGTCACATAGAGCAGAACATCATGATGTTAGTGAGTGACATGGGTATGCTTAAAGTGACATTAAAGGAAACTTTTTTTTTTTTCCCTCCCCCCAATGTTAATTAAAGCACTTACCTTAAATGATGTCTCTTAATCCGATCTTCTTTCCTGATGTTTTCAGCCTTCTCTCCAGCGCTGCGGCGTGTCTCCGATCCAGCGCTGACTCCTCTGGGCTTGCTGGCACTTCCTGTCCCACGGTGTGTGCATGCGGGTGCACGCGTCCATAAACTTACCTTGCGTCTCTCTTCGTGTCCCGGCCGAAAATGTGAGCTGCGCACGCCCCAAGATCCTTTGTGGCCGCCCGAGAGTTTTCACATTTTTGGACGGGAGCGTGCGGGGAAGACGCAAGTAAGTTTAAACCGCTGTTAAAGCGTTTTTTTTGTTTTTTTTACCTTTTTGCATATATCTGCTGCTTGCTAGCAGTAGATATATGCAAAAAAAACAGGGTTTAGAAACCCTTTAAGACTTGAATTGAGTTCTGCTGGAACACCCTAAGAAAATTCCATTGACATGACATCACTCCCTACTGTTAGCTAATACAGAGGGGAGTGTTCCAGACCAATCATAGGAGAGCAGCTACACTGACAGGTTTCTATAAGTGCAAGACACATGCGAGGAAGCTTATTCAAAGCATAAAGGTGGTCTTTAGTGAAAATAAAAGTACCTTCATTTAACTGCTAGACTAAGGGGTCTGCATTAAATACTGCATTATGGTCACTAGTTGGAGCTGAGGATCATAGGAATCAAATACGTTAGTAACTTGTTGGTACAATGTTATAATTTAAGAGAACACTGGAGATGAGCATATAAATGTAATCCCTAATACTAGGGGAATAGCAGTCATTACATTTCTGTGTTTGTTTTCTCTAGCGTGTCTCTTGTTACTAATGTGCATTTCCTATGATCCTCCGCTATATTTAGTGGCCATAATGCATTTTTTTCCTCTACTCGTCAGCACCATGTAGGGACGTTGGTGCCATATGAAAGGCATCCGTCCGGCTGTATGCCAGGTTGAACTTCTAAAAATTGCCCCAGAGTATTGTTGGAGATGCAAGCTACAGTGAGAAATGGAGGCCACCCAGATCATTGCTAAGACTGGGTTCTTGTGGTGGTTACAGCTTAAGTCAAGGATTTGATCATACACGTTGGCCCTCATCCTCTTGCACTTCTCTGCTACACTTACTGCCCACTATCACACCCTTTACATTCCTCTGCTGCACTTTCTGCCCACCCTCATACCCTTCACACTTTTCCTGTACAAACTGCCTGCTGTCCTACACTCCACATTCCTCTCCTGCATGTACTGCTCCATGTTGGATCCTTGGCCACACCTACTACACACTGCCTTCCCTCATGCCCTCTGCACTTCTCTTCATTACATACCACCCATCCTCATATCCTCTGTGCAGGCTGCTTTTCCTCATGCCCTCTGCACTTCTCTTCTTTACATACCACCCATCCTCTGTGCAGGCTGCTTTTCCTCATGCCCTCTGCACTTCTCTTCTTTACATACCACCCATCCTCTGTGCAGGCTGCTTTTCCTCATGCCCTCTGCACTTCTCTTCTTTACATACCACCCATCCTCTGTGCAGGCTGCTTTTCCTCATGTCCTCTGCACTTCTATTCTTCACATATATTTAATGTTCACAACCTTGCACATTCAGGACTTTGCATGCTTTTTGTTCAGTTACATAAAAGCAAAGGATGTTAAATGCAGCGGTCACTATGTTCCCAAACTATCATGTTCTGTGTCTAGTTCCCAGTTCCACAGTCCCAACAGGTAAAAAAAAAAATGTTTGTTTCCCCACCAGATTCCATTGCGAGCCCCGGGAAGGACAACAGTCGCATGAAGAGCTACAAAAACAAGGCTCTAAACCCAGAAGAGATGCGTAGACGGCGTGAGGAAGAGGGAATTCAACTGCGCAAGCAGAAACGTGAACAGCAGGTCAGTAGATCTGGAATAAAACAAGTATGTAATGCAAAACAGTCAGCTTGATGGAAGCTTTTATTGTTGTAGTGATAAAAATTATATAAAAACTTGGACGCATCCAACTATTTTATTAGAGACAATGAGACCAACTTCCTATTCTTTTTGCTCTATAATGTGCATGTTTTTATCTCTACTTTTAGAGAATCAGCCCACTACATTGCATATGATGGTAACTCTTAGTAATATTATCTGACATACCGTTTGTGTTTTGTACTTGTGAATGTCCTGCATTGGCTCAGAATTTAGAAATGCAGAAAACTAAAGACACGTTTGGTAGAATTGTATCCTCTTGGTTATGACACATTTCATTATTGAAGATGGGCATAATAAGAGGTTCCCAGCTATCAGTTAGGGCCATTGGCATTCCATTGATTTGCAGTTGGCATTTACCCACAGAGTACCGTATATACTCGAGTATAAGCCGAGTTTTTCAGCCCATTTTTTGTGCTGAAAAATGCCCCCCTCGGCTTATACTCGAGTCAGTGTCTCGAGCTGGTCAGGTTTCTTCTTACTTACCTCGCCGAGCGTCGCGTCACTGCTGCTCCGGTGGGCGGCGCTCCGAGCGGGGTCATCTTAATGTATTAATTTGCTGTTCTAATGGAGGTTATCTTCACTGCTTCAGTAAAGTTACCTAACGGTGGTTGAGATTTACTGAATAGAAACCAGCTGCATATGTTGAATCAGCATATTCAGCACCAGCTGGAGCTGCATATGTTATGTTACATTACTGTAGGGCAGGGGTCGGAACGTCTGGCCCGTGGGCCTTAAACGGTTGTTTGTTCTGGCCCTACGAGCCGGGTCCCCTCGTGTGACGCTGCAGACTGGAAGGTGTGATCCCGCCACTCCCTGGCTGCATGAAGGGGTATACAATGTGGTGAGAACATGAAGGGGGGGTACAATGTGACCAGAACATGAAGGGGGGGAATAATACAATGTGACCAGAACACGAAGGGGGGGGGAATACAATGTGACCAGAACACGAAGGGGGGAATAATACAATGTGACCAGAACATGAAGGAGAGGGATACACCATGTGACCAAAGAGCAGTAGTTCCAGCCATCACATTAGGGGTGAGCTATATAAATGTTTGACTAAATATAGCAGGCTGATTAAGTTGATAATTTTGTGGCCCACGAATGATCTAATAAATAACCAAATGGCCTTTGGCATAAAAAAGGTTCCCCACCCCTGCTGTAGGGCCTTCCCACAAAAATGCAAGTTGACTGGGTGTTGGGCTGACCCACTCGCTTTAATACTTTGTGTCACTGTCCCAGGACATGTATGAAGATTAGGAAAGTTGAAGAAAAGTCAATATACTTGTACTTGATCTTGCCAGTGATTCCAGATAATAAAACAAAAAGCACCTGCAAGGTAACTCAGGAAAGCTCAGAAATGACCAGGTCTGCAGCTAAATGTGATTAAATGTTTGCAGATGTTTGTACAATTATTTGTTGATTGTTTTGCAGCTCTTTAAGCGCCGCAATGTGGAGCTGGTTTCTGAAGATTCATCCATGTTTGATGGTCCTCTAATGGATTCTTATGTCAGCTCCACCAATGTTGGGGTAAGTGTAGTAGAGCGGGTATAGGAGTATTCAGTCTTCCTACTGTATGATGACCTACAAATGTTTTAAATGTCTGCTTTCCCAGGATGGAGTTATTACCCGTGAGATGGTTGGGTTGCTGCTTTCTGATGACCCTGACCTGCAGTTGGCCACAACACAAAAATTCCGAAAGCTGCTGTCTAAAGGTATGACATCTTGTGAGTATATATATATGCCATTGAGCAGGATTCAGAACACAAATCATATGTTATAGTACATTGTACATTAATAGTAGAATGCAGTCATGCCTTTGGAGTAGGTCATGTCAGCACTGTCCTAGATACTCAGTCCTTGATTACTTTGTATTTCAGAGCCAAACCCCCCAATAGATGAAGTGATAAATGCTCCTGGAGTGGTAGAACGGTTTGTAGATTTCCTTAAACGAAGTGACAACTACACACTACAGGTGAGTGTATTGCTCTGCATTCAGAGGTTCCTTGTAGAGAGGATTTAAGTTTGGCAAATGCATGAAGCACAACATTACATTTCTTTTATTTATAGTTTGAAGCTGCCTGGGCTCTAACAAACATTGCATCTGGCACTTCACAACAAACCAAGATTGTTATCGAAGCAGGAGCCGTGCCAATTTTTATCCAGCTGCTAAACTCTGAATATGAAGAAGTGCAGGAACAGGTTTGAATACTATACATGTTGTCGTTTTTGTTTTTCTTTACCGTTTTGTGGCTTCTCATTTAATGTTTGCTATTGCTGTCTTTTCTTCTCCTTACTTCTTTTCCTGTGGATTCCTGCAGGCTGTGTGGGCACTAGGGAACATTGCCGGTGACAGTTCTGTGTGCCGAGACTATGTACTTAGCTGCGACATCCTTCCTCCTCTACTTAAGTGAGTACAGCTTAATGTATAGGGCAAAATAGGTCTCCATTTTGTTTGACAAAATAAAAAACCTGTTGCAGTTGGCTCATGGATGGATGAAATGTATATTTTTAGATTAAAGTAAGCTGAACATGGCCTACAAAGCGCATAAGGTAACTGTGCTGAGGTCTGCCTGCAAGTATCTGTGTTAGAGTTTAAATTGATCCCTGTGAAACCCCTTGGATTCCCGGCCTAATCTGTACACACATCCTTGGCTTCTCTAGGGTACGCTCTCCCCCTTCTGTTGCCATGTCCTACCACCAAGTTGATTGGTGAGGACTCAGTGGAGGTAGGGTGCTCCACAATGCCATTTAATATCTACAGACACCTTTTAATCTTCAAATTGGTCAGTTTCTTGGTTGGGCATTTTTTGTTGGATGACGAGCCACTGTATATGGGGCAGTAATTGATGACACCAAATGAGCGCTCTTAAAATACCTCCTCTAGTCCATGTTATTATACATGCTACCAGTACGTTCTGTGCTCTTGTCCACCCACTGCACTCAATTAACCTAATCGGGCGTGCTTGTGCGCTGGGTAAAGTGGACCATGAGACTGTCGGATCATGCATGCGAGCCTAACTTAACCAGCCTAACAAGGGGATTTAAAGGCACCGCTTTCGTTGGTCAAATATTTTTTATAAAAGATATATTTTAGATTTTTTTTTTTTTTCTAGGTTTATTAACTTCTGGTCTGCCTTTCAGTGAGAGTCTTGAAAGATCCCCTCCTACCTTTAGAGTTGCTGCCCTGTCATTAGGGTGGCTGCATACTTCAGAGCAGATACAGTCAAAACAAATAAAGCTACATTAGGTGGTCAATGTAAATCTTTCTAAATAACTGTGCCAGCTAAAATAATAGACTGAATATCCAGATTTTTATATAATCCCAGTTGTAACTGGTCTTCTTTAAGAGATACAATGAGGATTGCAGAAGAGTATTTTGGTTAACTTCAGTTTGGGATTTAAAAAATCTTTTTTTTATTAAAGTACCATGTTCTGTTTTGTTTTTGTAGTCTATTGACCAAGTCAACTCGCCTTACCATGACAAGAAATGCTGTCTGGACCTTGTCTAACCTGTGCAGAGGGAAGAACCCACCTCCAGATTTTGATAAGGTCTTCTACCTATTAATTTTTTCCATAAAAATGGTGGTTTAAAATGTTGCTTCCAAAAATTTCTCAATGTTGTGTTTTAATTTATTTATTTATTTTTTCTGTAGGTGTCTCAGTGTCTTCCTGTGCTCTCCCGTCTTCTGTTTAGTAGTGACTCTGACCTGTTGGCAGATGCTTGCTGGGCGCTGTCCTATCTTTCTGATGGTCCCAATGAGAAGATTCAGGCAGTCATTGACTCGGGTGTCTGCCGCAGGCTCGTAGAACTTTTAATGTGAGTGTGATATAACAGACTAGTGAAACGTTTGGGCTACCATTTATAGGAGAGTAAAAGCTGATTAATTGCTCTGTGTTGCTATCAACAGGCACATTACTGATTTGTAATATTATAAGTTAGCGTTGTCTTTGCTGTTTTAAATGATGGGGATTTTATATTCGGTCAAGTCTGAGTTATGCCTATGTTTAAAGCAGATCCCCGTTAACTGGCGGCTGCCTTCTTTATGCACCGGGTTACAGTATATACTGCCAGTGTTTTAGTGTTGGTGTTTAGTATCAAGGATGATGTGTTTTTAAAGCTAATATTTGCATGAAACCTTTACATTCATACAGTCTGCTGTGATATAATTTCAGTAATCTGCCTCCTACCCAGCCCCTACCCACCCTACCTTTGGGCAGACTGCAAGCTATTCTGAACAATTTTATAGAGAGACACAATTAAGAAACACTGAGGGAAAGTGCATTGACAATTGCCACCCTAGTCTTAAAGTGACATTAAACCCTCAGATTTGTTAACATAAAACAATACTGTAATGTGCGCCATACTGTAATCCATGGTTGTTTCCCTGTCTGCTGCTCTTCCTTTTAAATCCTCATGTCTTCTCATGCTTGGGCAGAACTTCCCTTTTCAGCTCAGGGCCTCTTCCTGTAGTGCTGACTCAGGTTACAAGCCTATAGAAACGTATACACAGACACCGTGTATCCATTCCTGAGACAAGACAGTCTGCTTCAAAACAGAAGTTCTGCAGAGCATGAGAAGAGATACAGATTTAAAAGGAAGAGCAGCAAAGAGAAGGGAAACAACCATGTATTACAGTAAGGCACACATTACAGTATTGGTTTATGTTAAAAAATCTGAGGGTTTAATGTCACTTTAAGATTTTTAATCCTTTGTTTGAACACCATGTTCAAATCAAATCTAATTTACTACTGATTATGTGATTTGCCAGCATTGTACAAAAGGGGTTAATTATGGTAAACATTCCCTCCACAACACCCTCCTTAACATTACTTATGGGAAGCTAGGTAGAATTTAACACTTTCGCTGCCATGGACGTATGGCATACGGTGGAACACAGCCGCTTGCAGCTGGCCACGTCAGTATGCCATACGTCGGTGGCGTTTACTGTTCCGCTGTAAACTCATGGTCACTTTAACAACCATGAATTTACACCGGAACGGTTCCCCTGACAGTTCCCTGTAAATGAATAGCTGTCATCAGTGGCTTAAATCTGGGCAGGGCCTACTGCCCCTCCTCCCTGCCTGGAGTCGCTCCAGGCTGGGATAAATTTCACCTCAGATCCCCACTGCTCTCCCCTGCCTGTATGGGCTGAGGCAGCAGGGATCGAGGAGAAACAATACTGTAATGTGCGCCATACTGTAATCCATGGTTGTTTCCCTGTCTGCTGCTCTTCCTTTTAAATCCTCATGTCTTCTCATGCTTGGGCAGAACTTCCCTTTTCAGCTCAGGGCCTCTTCCTGTAGTGCTGACTCAGGTTACAAGCCTATAGAAACGTATACACAGACACCGTGTATCCATTCCTGAGACAAGACAGTCTGCTTCAAAACAGAAGTTCTGCAGAGCATGAGAAGAGATACAGATTTAAAAGGAAGAGCAGCAAAGAGAAGGGAAACAACCATGTATTACAGTAAGGCACACATTACAGTATTGGTTTATGTTAAAAAATCTGAGGGTTTAATGTCACTTTAAGATTTTTAATCCTTTGTTTGAACACCATGTTCAAATCAAATCTAATTTACTACTGATTATGTGATTTGCCAGCATTGTACAAAAGGGGTTAATTATGGTAAACATTCCCTCCACAACACCCTCCTTAACATTACTTATGGGAAGCTAGGTAGAATTTAACACTTTCGCTGCCATGGACGTATGGCATACGGTGGAACACAGCCGCTTGCAGCTGGCCACGTCAGTATGCCATACGTCGGTGGCGTTTACTGTTCCGCTGTAAACTCATGGTCACTTTAACAACCATGAATTTACACCGGAACGGTTCCCCTGACAGTTCCCTGTAAATGAATAGCTGTCATCAGTGGCTTAAATCTGGGCAGGGCCTACTGCCCCTCCTCCCTGCCTGGAGTCGCTCCAGGCTGGGATAAATTTCACCTCAGATCCCCACTGCTCTCCCCTGCCTGTATGGGCTGAGGCAGCAGGGATCGAGGAGAAATGGCTGGTGGGGGCGGAGGAGATGCACACAATATGTAAACCTGGCAGTAGCAGTCCCAGTGTAAAAGTAGGGCTTTCTTTGTTTTGTTTTTTGTTTACAAATGTGTAATGCATATGGAAAATGGAGACCAGATGCATACAAAAGCCTGTACTCAGGCATCAGACACAGAAGCAAATCCAATGCAGTATGCTTTCACATATGCTTCTGAGTTGCATGAGTCACTCAAGGAGTTGCTTCAAGTTGTTTTTTTATATTCACCTTGACATGTACAGGGAAGAAAGGCAACTCTGATGCAGACAAAATCCCCTGTAATTGATCCCTATGGTTAGCCACACATTGTCCAGCGAATTACATGGGCAAGGATTAAGCCATTAAGGTATCTTGAGGCTATAATAAGTAGGGATGCACCGATACAGGTTTTTGGGTTACGAGTACCACCGATACTGGTGCTTCCGCTGGCATGGAGCCAGCTTCCCGGGCAATCTGATTGTCCGAGAAGCTGACTCCATTTTGTCTAGGCGGCTTGATTGTGCTTGGCCGAGAAACCGGCTTCCCAGCCAATCAGCATCGAGCCGGCTTCCCGGCCAATCAGGAAGCCAGGTGGTGAGTATTGACCTGATTCGCCGGGAAGGCGGCTCAATGCTGATTGCCCGGGGAGCAGTTTCCCCGGCCAACCAGCATGGAGCCAGCTTCCTGGCCAATAGGGAGGCGGGTCATTGTTCGCTGCCCAGTTTCCTGATCGCACGGGAAGCTGGCTCCATGTTCCCCCTACGGCACTGTCAGTCGGAGGAAATGTTCCTCAGACCGGAAGTTCCGGGTATCGAAGCATTTGAGTACTCTGTATCTGCACAGATTTCGGTACTGGTATCTGTGCATCCCTAATAAGTGCTTCCAACTTTGAAAGCACTCGTTGCTCATAGATATTTTTAAACTTGTTAGAAAATCTGTGTTGCCTGATCCATCCTTTTTCTAAATGAGAAAAGGAAAGATGCGAGGCGTCTGTGTGTCAATACAGTCAGTCAGCCAAGCTGTTACAAAAGCACTGGCAAGCCATGGTGCTATAAGAAGTGGTTATATGTCTCCCTGTGCATCTATATATTAATTGTGGGACTTTTGGGGAGGGGTGATGGGTTTAGGAGAGTGCCTTGAAAATTTGATAGTGGAGTCTTTAGCATAGTTTTTATGTTTTCCTAGTGATGGCATCTTTTGTACTTAAGGGCACAGTGAGTTACAATGTTGGAACTAAGTAGGAGATTGCTGCACAATTTTCTACTTTTTTTTGTAGATTTTGTGAATGACTAGGGATCTTCTTTCAGAGGAATAGATGGGATAATGAATGGTATATATGATTCCTTCAGGTGCATGGCAAAAACTACCTGACCATCATACCCATATAAGCTTGTTGGTTATCTGATTCCAAAACCATGGGCATTCATTTAGAATTGCCCACTTTTGTGACTATAACACCCTCCACTTTTCTGAGAAGGGAAATGTTATACGAGACGACCTGGCTTGCTGTCTGAATTCCAATTTATCCCAAAGGCAGTAGAGTTGAGATGAGGTCTCTGTGTTAGGCCCCTCAAATTCCTTTACACCAAATTCCTAAAACCTTTAAGGTCCTGGCTTTGTGCACAATGTGCGCAGTCCTTGTGGAATAAAAAATGGCCTTTCCCAAAATGGGTGTGCACTAATGTCTAAATGATTTGGTATTGAATGTTGTAGCACCAACAGTACCCTTCATTGGAAACGCCTAGATGAAAACATTTGGGAGGGTGTTTTACATACTTTTGGCCATATAGTGTACATGAGGCCAAGGTTATTTATTGGTTTCAGTAATCTGCATTTTATTGGCAGCTCATGGAGAATTGGGGTGGTAATGTGTGACTGGCAGGCTATGTTAGCAGTTTAACCCCAGAATTCAGCGCCAATTTATTGCCGGTCCTTCTTTACTGAATTATCATAAAGCTTTTTATTTAGTAATCCCAAAGTGGATACAATTGCATGGATTCATGGCAGTATTGTGAAATCAAGTGCTTTTTGTTTTTTTGCTATTTGACTCTGTTTCAGATGCCTGATCTGTAACAGGTGTACTTGTCGTTACATGTTAAATTTGTCTTCATCTCACCTCAGGCACAATGATTACAAAGTGGCATCTCCTGCACTAAGAGCCGTTGGAAATATTGTTACGGGAGATGACATCCAGACACAGGTGAGAGCCAGTATGTCAATAAATTATAACTTCGCTTTTCTTTTCAGAAAATATATTAGTAGTTGTTGCAAATAATATTTTACCTCCTGAATTCTTTTAGTTTAAGCACAAGTGGTATGTATTTGAATGCTGGAGTATCACACCAGGAAAATCGCATATAAAAAGTTTACTGGATCGAAAGATAGATGAATAACAATGGGAGATCAAAAATATTAATTTCAGATGACAAGGGCTGCCCAAGACAAATCTTGACACTTTCCATACAATTAGGCCCCATTCACACACGAATCGGCCGGCACCTACAGCTCCGTGCTGCGTGCGTGGCCGTACCAAGCAGCTGCCGGGAAGGACAGGTGCTGCGTGTGATTAGTATGCAGCCCCCGTCCTTCTCTATGGGGCTACGCAGCCGTACGCTCACCTCAATTGCAGGCCCGTAGGGGTGCGGGTGCGCGTATTCATACGCCGCCGGAATGGATCCCTTATGCGTCCCGGCCAGAAAACCTGCACCCCTACGGACCTGCAATTGAGGTGAGCGTAGAGGGGGGTAAGGCCATGTAGTCCCATAGAGAATGACAGGGGCTGCGTACTAATCACATGCAGCACCTGTCCTTCCCGGTAGCTGCTTGGTACGGCCCCGCATGGAGCTGTACGTGCAGGCCGATTTTGTGTGTGAATGGGGCCTTAAGGTTGTAATGAGAACTTTCGTAGGTTAGTGTAGGAATTGTAATCGTTAGGAGGTATTTGTGCAAAAGGGTCTGAGATGTAGACAGGGCATAAGTTGAGAACTGTTATAAAGAAAAGATAGCAATTTGTATTCTTCTTCCTGATTTTAAGCCAATTAAGAGTAGAGATGGGGAGGGCTGGAAAAAAATTGGGGGAAAAAACTTTTTTTTCTCCTTGTTTTTCCCAAGCCGTTTGGTTTTTTTCCATGGAAAAATTGGGAAAAAGAGTGTGGAATATTTTCTTTTACTGTGATACATAATAATGTATTTTTGACATGGTATTCAAACTATATAACATGAGGACCTTGATGAAAGATTTCTGACACTTTAAGTCTTAAATTATTGCATATTCTCTCAGCTGAAGACAAGCAAATCCTGGAATACAATTCAAGTAACACTGTACTTCTCAATGCAGTTCTCAAACTCAAAAATATATATGCTTTTCTGCCACTAGGGGCACTGCAGAGGAAAGGCTCCAGTTTAGTTCGCTTGTGGGCTCTATCTTATCCTATAGTTGGGTGATTGTTGGTATAATAGTAGATGATAGTTTCTGTCCTCTCAGGTATGAGGGTACATTTGTCTGACAAATTAGTTTATCTTTATAACCTTTAAATGAATTCCTAATGTTCTACGGCATCACAGCATAATGTTTACCTATAGTCTGGTCAGTAAATTTTGTTTTTTTTCCTTCTCTCAGTAAAAAGGTGAGACCAACATCTAGAGTTTGGAAAGAATTCCACAGTGCAACTTCTGCTGAGAGCAAAGCTGCAATTTGCAAATATAAATTAACATTTTAAAAGGCAACTTTAGTTTATTTACTGAATAAGCTGTGCTTTTTATTTCAAGCATAATACTTTTACTGCATTTCACGTTCCTAGTGTAACAAAAGGCTTTCAATTGGTAAAAATACTCCACACAGAATTTTTGTAACACTTTTCTGAAAATTTGGCTTCAAAATTTCCAGAAATGTTACATCTCTAGTTAAGAGGCAGGCAGAGAGTAGCAAAAGGTAAATAGTGGAAGTGAGAAGTTTTTCAGCAGCATTTAGTGGATTGTAGAGTATTTTTAGTAAAACATAGAAGAATGTTGCAGTAGACCAGGAGGAAAATGATCAGGGCATTGTCTAGAACTTTGGTGGTCTCCTAGTTGAGAGAGGGCACATTTTGAAGCTGTTGCTCAAGTGGAAGTTGCAGGACTTGTATTGGGTGGGGTATATAGGTTTGTTTAGTTTCCATTTTTGCTCCTGTTGTAAGAACAGGAGCAAAAAGACGCCCGCTCAGATCTAGAGAGCTTCGGCCTCCCGTTTTTTTACTACGGCCGGCCAGGAGGTGGTTAAAGAGTTTTGAAAAAAAGAAACCTTAACATGTTGACTTATCTTTTATAGATCCTAGATATAGATATAGGCTAAGACTGATGCTACATTTACTGCTACCAAGTAGGTGCGATTTGCAATTCCTGTGACAGGAACTGATCATTTCCTGCAGCAGAAATTCCAAATCCGTTTACAATCGGCAGCTGTCACCCATTCAAGTTAAAGATTGGGTGTCCGTGGGTGCATTTGAAAGAGGCAGACCGCTGACGCATCACATGTTATCGTATCAATCACTACTCCTTCCCCCCATTATCGGTCACTATCCCCGGATGCACGATCGATCGATAAACAGAAGATTTGGAATTCCTACTGCAGGAAATCATCAGTTCCTGACGCAGGAATTGCAAATCACACCTACCAAAAATGCCAGTACTTAGTGGAGATGTTGTAAGCATTATGAGGAGCAACTTGATCTTTGTGTCCAAACTCCTATAGGCAGGCATGCGTTTCCTTAGCCATCAAAAACACCTTACAGGCACCCCCTAGATTGCTGACTAGCAAAATTCCCTGGCCAGTTACAGGTTTTTCTTGTGTATTATTTTTGGTGTTAATTTTGTTTGTGACCTTGCTGTGCAGCCTACTTATGACTGTGCCACTTCCTTTTCAAGCATACTAAATGTATAGGCCTTTACAACTTGGGGAGTGTTTTCTAGTCAACTGAGATTTTGTAGAAGTCAGACATGAGGAATGGATTATTCAGATACCAATTCAATTGTAAGGGGTGACCTGACATGAGAAGTCATACATGCTATAAAAGAAAACCTTGTATTCTGAACAATTTGAAGATCGATACATGCCTGTGTAATAGAGATCAGAGTAATGGTGATGCAACAGCAGGATTGGTACAAGGTGTAAAGAATGATGCCAAATTTGTACCCAATTAGTATAAAGCCAAATATTGTTGATGAAACAATACTGAAGAGGGTTACAGGCTGAATAGACTATGTCCAATGCTTACCTGTGGAGATAGATGGCAGATAAAATGTTAGCTGTAGTATGCGTATATAACTCCTATGTGTAGACTCATCCTGTTCCCTCTCAGTATTTAAACCATTACTTCTGTCTCCATATGAGCATATGAGGGGGGGGGAGAAAGTACACATGTCATACATTTCCGTGTAAGGGGGATTCCGACAACCTTATAATGTTCCTTCATTATAATCTTGTTCCAGCACACCTCAAAACAGTCCTATGTATTATCCCAGCCCCCAATGTTTCTATCCTATACCACTCCTTCATCCTATGTCCTCTAAGTATCTCGTGGATTGTTTAAACTCCTTCCATTGTTGCCAAGTACTTTCAAATTGTGTATACGTATCCCTCCGTATTGATGTCATTTCTTCCATCAAACGGTAATATTCTATTCTTCCAAACCACTCTTTCATAGACGGAATAGAACTTTTGTTCCAATATAGTGGAATCAACATTTTAGCTGCATTAAGTAAGGGACGCACTAATGATCTTTTATAGGCTGCACTTGGTAAATCCATAAGGTTGAAAAGACAAGCCATCGGTTCCAGAGGTAATGCAATTGTTGTAATATCTTCAATCAATTCCACTACCTTAGACCAAAAGGGCTGGAGTTTGGGACAGGACCACCAAATATGAGTATAGGTTCCCGTAATACCACAATTCCTCCAGCATAGTTCCGACCTATATGGGTACATTTTATGCATTCTTTCAGGCTACTAATTCTAAACGCATTTTTTTTTTTAATATTATAGCTTTGCACTTTCCAAATTGTTCACAGCTCCAACCTGTCTTCCCTTGATATTTTTCCAGTGCATCAGTGCCTCTTCCTCCTGTACAGTACAGGTCCCATTTCAAACCTTTCTCTACATAGTGCTGTTTTCAGTCCGACAGTATAGATCCTGTTTTTGTGTAATGTTGATCGTTTTATCTGAACTTAAGAGGACAGGCTTTTTTTTTGTGGAAATACAAAGTCGGTGGTTGACTCTGTACATAGCACTAGGTCTCTGAGCTTGTGGAGAACCTTTTCCATTTTAGACTACACAGTTCAGAATGCAGTGCACTTTTCATGCGGCATGTCTACTAAACAAAGCAGATGTATGACAAAGGACATTGAGTACACTGACCGGCAGGCAGCCATTGGAAACCAGTTATATTAATGTAACTCGTTCTAGTTTTCCTTTAACACAGAATATCTCTTTATTTCTCATAAGGTTATCTTGAACTGTTCTGCCCTGCCTTGTCTCCTGCATCTACTAAGTAGTCCTAAGGAATCTATCCGTAAAGAGGCCTGCTGGACCATTTCTAACATCACAGCTGGTAACCGAGGCCAAATACAGGTAACATGTACATATTGCAAAGCTCTAACTTTACATGAGGTGCTTGTTTATATGCAAGGTTTTAAGCAGTACCTGCTGTTTTCCCACAGGCTGTTGCAGATGCCAATATATTTCCAGTGTTAATTGAAATTTTACAAAAGGCAGAATTTCGAACCCGTAAGGAAGCTGCATGGGCTATCACAAATGCCACATCTGGGGGCACCACAGAACAGATTAGGTAAAATAACAATGTGTATTAATTTAACTGAAGAATATTCTAGTAAATGCAGTATTAACGTTTGCCTTTTCTTTAGATACCTCGTAAACCTGGGCTGCATTAAGCCACTCTGTGACCTCCTCACTGTCATGGATTCTAAAATAGTGCAGGTTGCCCTAAATGGTCTGGAAAATATCCTGCGACTTGGGGAGCAAGAGGCAAAACAGGAAGGAGGAGGAGGAGGCATAAACCCGTATTGTGGGCTGATTGAAGAAGCATATGGTAAGCAAGTAGGATTTAGCAAGGAATATATGGAGTCAGTGCATGGGTCCCACTTGTATTAGAACAATGTTTGCAAAATCTGTCTTGCAGTAGCAATACCAAAGGACCAACCAAAGAAGTTGTAAATATTATTATGGTAAACAGAAACTTGGCTATAGCTAAGCCAAGTTCAAACAACTGCACATGTGCTATTTGCCATTAAAGTCAGTAGTACTATCTGCATTTGTGCATTTTCAGCCAGTGTGTTTTCACTAAAAAGTCCCACATGCAGTGTTAAAAAAAATCTGCCATAAAGATGAAGAAAAAAAAACAGGGATACATGTTATTCATAAACATCTGGATAATACTACCGCCTAGAGGAAATGTTTACCGACAAACAAAAAGTGCTGTTGGGCAGGTATAACCCCTCCCACTCCCAGCATGCTTTATAGAGAAGCAGTATTGTAGTAGATAACATACAAAGAAGTGGGACCTTTTGCCCCTTAATTATTTCAAGAAACAGATTTTAGGAGAAGTACAAAAATCTTGTTTTTCATTCATTAAGGGACACAGGGTTCAGGTACAATTAGGATGTCCAAATAAGGGCTGGGCAACAGTAACAAAACACTAACAGGCCCACATAACAAGAACAATAGAACTGAAGGCTGCCTGCAGTTTAAAGCTGCCTGAAGGGATTTAAATACCATGGAGTCACTGGTGGCTGTACAGAGGAGGAGCCACAGGAGACACTGCATAAAAGACTTGACCAATGAATGGGAGACTAGGAGTCTTTGGAATAAGATCACAAAAGGGCCAAGGTTTGTCCATTGAAGGTACTCTGGGAAAAATGCTGATCCAGGTCTGAATGCAGAAAGGTTGGATTCTTCCCACAGAAATCATCCTGGGCTGAAATAATTTCTCCTTGCACCAGATGAAGTAAGCCTTCCATGTACAATGATAAATCTTGTGGGGGGTAGACTTCCTAGTTTTTAACCACTTGAAGACCAGGGTGTTATACCCCCTTCCTGGCCAGTCCATTTTTCAGTATTCAGCGCTGCGGTACTTTGACTGACATTTATTCCGTCATGCAGTGCTGTACTGAAACAAATGTTATACCATTTCTTGGGGACAGATAGAGCTTTCTTTTGGTGGTATTTAATCACCACTGCGGCTTTTATTTTTTTACTATATAACAAAAAAAAAGTACCCTAAATTTTGACAAAAAAACCTGTTTCCCTGTGAAATGACATTTGGTAAAATATAAAAGTCGGGGTCGCGTCGGGTAAATAGACACCAAACATGTCAAGCTTTAAAATTGCGCAAAATCGCAGAGAACGACCACACCCAAAATTGGCCATAGGCGATGCTTTAAAAGCTTTTACCGCTCATCAGTTTAGTGTTATTAGTAATTAATGGCCCTAAAACTATTGCTCTCATTCTGACGTTCGCGTCGATATGTAACATGTGCGGCACAATAGGTGGAATCGTCGTTTTCGCACAATTGCGCACCCGACGCATGTTTAAGTTTTTTTTTTTTTGGTTTTTTTTTTACACTTTAGTGCTATCACATAGGGGACTAAGAAATCCCCTACGTGATAGCTAATTCACATAACAGGTCCTCTTTATGGAGACATCAGGGGTCTAGAAGACCCCTAATGTCACCTAAGGACCCCCAGAGAAGCTGATGAAGCAGAGACCTGCTTAATCAGTTTCTCACCAGCATCTGAACCTTGAGAGTGACACTGAATGCAGGAAGTGGTGTAATACACATAACTTCCTGCATTCGGGGACCAGAGAGGAGATCAAAGGGAGATGGTTCACTGACATCGTTGCCGTGCCGGTCCCAGCCGCACCGGCACAGTGGATCTCACCAGATTGCTTGAATGTAAACAGCCATTGCTGGCTGTTTACATGGCTGACAGCTTCCCCACTCGTGTGCGCGCTGGGTGCCGCGCATGAGGGGGGGAGGGGCAGGACGTCTTAAGATGCCCTCCCGCTCCTGTAAGGCTCCCGTCTGGCTGTTGAGGAATGGCCATGGGTGGGAGCTGGTTAAAAGGTAAAGGAATTACTGAATTGAATAACCCTGTCTTTCAAGACCTAGGCTTCAACAGCCTTGCTGTTAAAGCGAACAACTGTGAAGGAGGGTGGTAAATCAATCTTTAGGATAGGAGACCTGGTCGATCTAGAATAGACCACAAAGTGTCTGCCAGAAGTTTGATCGGGTGAGTGTACCAGGGCCAGTTAGGAGCTGTGATATCAGCTGAATACTTTTCTTCTCATTCCTTTCTGAGGAGGAAAGCCATAAATCAGGCTGTACAGATTCCACATACTTCCCTGAAAATCCACTTTCTAACATGGAGTTTCCAAGGCTAGAATCCTGCAGTGAGACTTCTTGTTCCTCCTTGATGATTGATGTACACGCATGCTGTGAGGTTGTCTGACTAGATCCTGGTCAGATGATCCTCCAGTCAGGGTGTTGTGCATTGCAGGTACAACTAAATAACTTGGAGCTCCAGAATTGATTGGAAGATGAGATTCCTTTGTCAGCCAAGTCTCCTGCACCAAAAAGGTCTTTAGGATTGATCCCCAGCCTTTTTTGCTGGCGTCTATTGTGATAATCTTCCAAGACTGTGGGAGAAAGGATAACCCCATCTCCCGAGCTGAATTCCTGAGCCACCGGGCTATAGATTACTTGGTCTTGGGGAGTCAGGTGAGTCATTTTGTCTATAGACTGGACAAATTTGACTACTACAGTCCCATGACTACAGAATGTTGTGCTGTAGGGGTCTGGAGCGGAATTGAGTAAAAGGCACTGCCTTGAAGTTTACCTTCAAGTCCCAAAAAATGCAAGATTCCAGATTTGGATGACTCCAGGACCTGTAGAATCCGAGTCTAGGAGCGAAGAGTTTGACTTTTTTTTCCTAAGCAAAAATAACTCTGGCATTAGCTGTTCTAGGATGAGACCCAGATACACCAAATGATGTGTATGTTCCAGCAGTAACTTCTGAGGGTTCAGGATCCAACTAAACTTTTTTATGTTTTATGTTTGAACTGTCTTCATCACATCGGTCAGTATTTGTGCCATTTTTTTCGATCAGTAGGAAATCGTTTAGGCATTCCACAGTGGGGATAATAGAAACGCAAGCATGGGTACCAGTACCTTGGTGAATACTCTGCATGTGGAAGACAGTTAAAATGGTTGGGATACAAATTGGTAGTGTTGTGTTCCCACAACAAAATAAGGCCCCGTTCACATTGAGCGATTTATCGCGCGGTAATTCCCGCGATATTGCGGCTATTTACCGCGCGATATCGCTCTTCAATGCTTTGCAATGGGGCAAAGGGTCCTGCTGTCGCGGGTCGTGTGTCGCTACAGCAGGACCCTTTTTGGAGCGGATTTTGACGCGGTTCAATGGTTTTTGATGCAAGCATTTGCGAGATATCGCGCGACAAACGCGCGATTTGCGAATCGCTCAATGTGAACGGGGCCTTAAGGTAGCATTGACGTGCGGGAAAGATGGGGACCTGCAGTTACGCATCCTTTCACAGAGTCTAGAAAATCTCCCTGATTGAGGGAGACTATGACAGAACTGATGAAATCCATGCCAAACATTGGTTGGAGTAAAAACCTTGAAACTTTCTGCAATTGGAATAATGGCGATTAACGTCTTAGCCCAGAATATCTGCAAGAGCAGCATGGTGTTTGGCTAGTCTGTGTGAAGACACATGCTAGTTGAACAACACGAAGTGGGGGGAAGTAGAACTCTAGCTTGTATCCCCTGAAAACTACGTCTCCTACACAGGCAACGGAGTTGGTTTCTGACTGTGCCTGCAAAACCCAACAGATGCCCCCACTGGACAGTGGTGGTGTTCCTTCATGCTGAAAAGGACTTGTCTGTAGGTTTGGGAGATTTAGGGGCCGAAGGTTTGCAAAAAAACTGGGCTCCTGATTTAGGTCTGGTCTTAAAGGTGGAAGTCTAGGTGTAATGAAAGGAACTCTTCTTGGCCTTAGAGGGCAAGGAGTCTTCCTAGTTTGTGGCTTGGGTTTCCTCATCGGAGTCAGACTAGTACTTTTACCCTCAGTGAAATCCTTTCTAAGCATATCCAAGAAAGCACCAAAGAGCAGTTTACTATCAAAGGGCATCTGCAGCAAGCATTTCTTACATCCCTGTACTACAGAGCAGCATTTTAGCCAAAGAGTTCTCAGCATTTTCACAGACTGTAGACTCATTTGGGAAATGAATTGGAATTACTGTACACTGCAGAAATACAATTCTTCCCTGATAACTTGACTAGGTTAAAATGTAATCTATTCATGTTAGCTGGGGAGAATTGTAACTATTTCTGCAGTGTACTGCAAGTTTGTACTGTGTTCTATAGATCATTTGATTTAACCTATTTAAGTTAGCAGGGGAGAATTATAACTATTTAAATGATCAGGTCGCAGAAATAGAGTAACAATTCTCCCCTGCTTCTTCCAATCTGTCCTACTTCCCCCAATTAAACTTGAAGTTATACAAAGTATTGCTGATATGAAGCAATGACTGAAACATTAAATTGCATGTGGGAAATATTATGAACATGCTCCGCAAGAAAGTGCCCTAAAATCATTAGTCTGTATTGTTTTAGAAAAAAATGTACCAATTACCGAGAAAAGGATCGGTAATTGGTATCGGCAAGTACCTGAGGGATTGTAATTGGTCTTGAAAAAGTGGTATTGGGACATCCTTAGTAAACAGTAGTATAACTCAAAATAAACAATAAAGGTGTTCAGCACCAGTAAGTGTAATGTGGAAATAAGAGCTACCAAGCACTAAGGATATAACTAAATATCTGGAAAATGTGAAAAACAATATTGTGCCGAGCTAATAATCATACATATCTAATAAATTGAAGCATATATAAGTGAGTCACATATATGAGCCTTCAAACAAATGAGGCATAGAAAATATCTACACAAAGACAAAAAAGCAATATAGACAATAAAAAGTCTCAAGGAAAAAACAAAAGCAAACAATGGTGATTGTTTTTTCCTTGAGACTTTTTATTGTCTATATTGCTTTTTTGTCTTTGTGTAGATATTTCTTATGCCTCATTTGTTTGAAGGCTCATATATGTGACTCACTTATATATGTTTCAATTTATTCGATATGTATTAGCTCGGCACAATGTTGTTTTTCACAGTAGTATAACTCAATTGTATCTGAATAACTGAACTCTGTGTCCCTTATCGAGCAAGAAGAAACACGTTCCATGAAAAGATAATCTGTATCCCTGAAAAATGCATTAAAATTTTGTGATCTGGGTGATCCCAGCAGAGAAATGTTCAGACAGCCCCAAGAGCAGTACCAAATATACATGAGCACAGACCTTCACAGTACTTGTTTTCAGGTTCTGTCCAGAGTAGGTTAATTGGTGTGTTTTTAGAATGTTACAAATGAACACACCTATGCTTATGCTGGGAATCTTGTCATGCCATTAGTAGTTGTGCAACAAACTGGAGGAAAAGTGGACTGTTGGTAATAGTGAGATTATTTTAGTTTTCTCAGACTGAAAGATGAAAACTGGTTGGCTGCTCTTGGCCACAGCTCCTCCTTTGCTCCTAGTTTATTGTTTTTAAATCGGCTAGCTGCATTTTAAAGGTTTAGAAGGGTTTAGGATGTAAGTATTAGAAATACTAGGAATGAACTGCTACTAACTAATTTCAATGTTTTATGGGTTTCTTTTTCTCCCTTAGGTTTAGATAAAATAGAGTTTCTGCAGAGCCATGAAAATCAGGAAATTTACCAGAAAGCTTTTGAGTTGATAGAACATTACTTTGGTGTAGAAGAGGATGATCCTCAGTTGGTTCCATCTGTGGACGAAGCTCAGCAACAGTTCATCTTCCAGCAGACAGAGGCCCCTATGGAGGGATTCCAGCTGTAATCTGAATATGACAATCGCAGCACCCTACCACCACAGGTTCCATTCAATGGGAAGCTGGGAATGCAGCCCCCTCATGCTGGAGTAAAGTTAAACATGGTTTATTAGAAGAGATTCTCTCCCCTTCTTGTTACTCTTGCGCTTTGTACGTGCAGAGAAAGCTGTGATTCTAATGGCTATGTGAATGCCTCAGTTTAAACTCCATGAGCTCAACCTTTATGCTGCTTTTTGCGAGGTCTGTATGTAAAATGCATACTTCCCTCCAGCACTGAACTCTCTCTGCTTCAAAAGGTCCCGTTGTTTTTTTTGTGTTTTTTTTTTTTTTTTTCTCTTTTGGTTGGTTTCAAAAAGGACTTGCAGAATTTAAAACGCATTCGTATAAAATGCGTTGAGCATATTCTTCCTTTTCTGCTAGAGTACATGGAGCAAAAGGAATTGTATTTTTTTTTCTTTTGTGGAAGAGATAGCGGTATTTAAAGAATTAAGAAAAAAAAAAAAAGGAATAAATAAGTAAAATGTCTGGAAAGCGGTGGGCAGTGATGATCAAATTTAGGCAGTAATTTAAATACTCTTATCAGTGGTAACTGATGGTCACTGAACATGGCTTTAGGTGTTGCTTCAGCAGTCATTTCATTAGGAGTTTATTTGCCAGTGCCCCCTTACTGTACTTGGCTTTAAATCAGGCTGGGTGCCCTCTGGCAACACAATCTCCTGCGTGCCTTATCACTACCTCCCTCCCACGGCAGGGTTTTCTCATGTTAATTTGTTTCTCATTACTTGCCTCCCATTTCAGAGATTTTTGATAAATCTGTTTGCCACAACCGTTTATAGCTACTACTAGTATTGTTTTCAACAAAGTTCTACCTGAAACTCATATAAACTGTGCCTGTGATTTAACTATAGTAGAGAAGGACAATTTATGGTATAACCCAATCAATTTCAAAAGGTTGTTAACCAGTAATTGGTGACATCTGTGGTTCCCCCCAAAAAAAATTCATTAAAATATGGGACTACTGAGAAGTTTCGTTCAGGGTGTGAAAGCAATAGGGTTTCTTTTTGAAGCTGTGTAATTCATTCACCCCATGTCATCTTCATAAATAGCAGGGCACCTCCACAGAAACAGATGGTATGGGATTTCTGCATCTTGTTTGCGCCTTCCCAGCAATGTCACTAACACTCTTAGTTTATTTTCTTTAACACTTGTGACAATAGCCTGTGCTGGTGTGGAATGCAGAAAGAAATGTATCTACTTGAATTAAACTTATATTTAGCTGGCTTTTTATTCTTCCCTCATTCTCACGTGTGTTGGTTGTTTATAGTAAATGTTCCATATACTTTTTAGAAGTTTTTGAATATTTTTAGGACACCCATCAGGCCTTAAGTTAAAGGGAGAGAAATTCTTACTGATAGCGTAAGTATTTGACGTCACAGAAGTAACTTGACCTAGATGATGGTATGTTTAAAATCCTGTATTCTGAACAATCCACGGCATTGTTACAGCCCCATTGGCCTTTATGTATTCATATCTCTGTACTAAGAACTGGAGCTACTTCTGACAACCACCCATCCCATTTACACCTGAAAGTTCAGAACTGATTGTTTACGGGATAAAAACTTTAGTTCTTAATACAGACACTTAAACACATTATAAATTTAAAGCAAATGTCATCTATTTTACAGCCTAAATGAACTTTTAGTTTAAATCAATAAGATACATGCAAGTACATCAAAAGAAAAGGTGTGCAAAGCCCTACAGATCATTTTCTTTAAAACCATCTATAGCCTGAGTAGAAAATATTTTCCCCTGCACGCTCTTTGCTGATTTGGAGAGCTCTCGCTGTGATTCTCTGCAGCATGCAGGCAGGGGACAGGCTTTTCTTCTGGGGTTATGACTGCTTTCTAAACTAACTGTAAGACTTTTCACACCTTCTGTTTTGAATGCACCTGGAATGGATTTAGCATAGCGATGCACCGATACTAATATCAGTCCCAATACCAAAAATTTTGGTTAGTCCTCTTGCCCAAATGCTCCAAAACCTACCTCCGATACCGGAACTCTCCCTCTGACTGGCAGTGCCAAGGGAGCATTGAGCTGACTTCCTTTCCAATCAGGATGTGGGCCGATGGGCTATGACCCGCCTCCGGGCTTCCTGATTGGCTAGGAAGCCAGCTTCACTTATTGCTAGGCAGCTTGGCTTTCTGACCATTCAGGAAGCCAAACTGCACCTCATGACTCGCTGCCTGGCTTCCTGATTGGTCAGGAAGATAGACAGCTTCTGCAAGTGATGCTGGCGTTCTTTCACTTTAACACCGGCTTCACAGGCAATCAAGAAGCCGGGTGACGGGTCATGATCTGCCGCCTGACTTCCTGATAATCCAGGCACCATTCGGTGTCCGCGACTACGGGGGAACAAAAAAAATCGGTACTCGATACCGCAAAAAAAATGTATCTGTGCATCCCTAATTTAGCTGATTTCAAGTGAAAGCGTAATTAGGCTTTAAACTTGTAAAAGCCTTACCTAAAAAGTAACAAAAAATGTTTGCCTTTACCTTCTATTAGCCAGAAACCCAGTCTATCTGTACCTCTGATTTTACTTTGTTTTATTATGGTGTTCATTATAACAGCAGCTCCTATTACATGGATCCACTGAATCTCCTGAGAAATCCCAAAGATGCTCAAAACAGGTGTTTTTTT